GGGAGAGGGGAACGAAAATATATGTATATATACAATTTTCTCTCGCTTTATACAAACACAAACTGTCACGCCCCGAGCCTACACCTTGGACGGTACTGATACTCGAGAACCATTGCTGGCCCCAAGCGAACCCTTGGCCTGACTTACTTACTCAGCGGAAGACTTATACTCAACAAAGATAAATCTATGTAATAAACTAGAATGTTATAAAGGAACATTCAACTGGCCAATAAGGCAAACTCAAGTCTCAACATAATAGAATAAAAATGAAAAGACTAAAGAACTAACATCTGACTGTCTATGAAACCTCTAAAACTACTGAGATGGATGTCGGGACAAGACCCCCGATCATCCTAACAAATGAAATACTAAAAAGCAAATGATAGCAAAGGAGCCTTCCGGAAAGCAATGAGGCTCACCAACTGACTCTGAATGCTCAACTGGATCAACAAGGCGCTGGATGATGATCCTGATTACCTGTGTCTGTATCATAATAAGATGCAGGCCAAATGACATCAGTACATTAAATGTACGAGTATGCGAGGGGAATTCTAAAACAAGACATAAGGTTGAAAGGAACTGAAGAACTTACCTGGCTCAACTCAACTCAACTCATTTAAATATAAAGCAGTATAAAACAAGTGCAATATAAAGAAACGTTGTTTAAAGATGTATGTCAACTCTGTGTATTTGGAAATACAATAATACTCTGTGTGTATGCAAAGATACACTATAACTCTGAAATGTAAGTAAAATACAAATAAACTGTGTATATAAGAATATAATTCCTTATGTGGGAGTTTCTCTAACCGACAACCATCATGTAAGAGCTATTGTGATGATACAACGTTTTGCCTCACGCTCCCAGGGCCATCATATATCTTGTCGAGGGTATAGAACTTGAACTACTAAGTGGATCCACTAGTCTATGCTAAAAAGCACGAAATCATCTAAAAAGTATGACCCTTTTCTACCTATGATGACTACATGGTTTATGGGGGCTGTGAGTTGTCTGAACTCTCCCCCATATCGGTGCTCAATAGTACTCCCAAAATATGATAGTAGCTCTTATGTTTAAAAACATACTTCTTTTTGTGATTTGAGATAATTGCTCAAAAACTTAGCTCAAAGGCTATTCTTGGAAATCAAGTTTCCTCCCTTGCTTAATTGTGAAATCATTTATTCTTTACTGAAAACTAGCTCAAAGGCTCTTTGTAAATCAAGGTTTCCTTTTCTTGTTTAAATGTGAAAACATTTTAACTCTTTGGGAATACATAGTCCCCATATACTTTGAAGAAATGAACTCAACTTTACTCTTTACTTAACTCAAAACTCAAGTCTTCAAACAAAGTTAAATCATTTGTAAAAGACTTTTGGAAGACTCTATGAACTTCTCTTGACTTGGTATTTAACTTCTCTTGACTTGACTCTTAACTGATCCTTGAATTGAATTATGGATTCAAGGATTGAGATTTGTGATAGGAAATATCTCATGATGTTTAGGAGTGTTTTTAGATAGTTAAACACGAGAAAAGATCAAGAAATCATCGTCTGGAAGCAAGTTCGCGACTTGGAGATGCATTTAATTATTTGGTCGCGAAATAAATTTTGAGGCAGAACGGTCCGTGACCGCTCCGCTCCGCGAAGAAAAATTGTCAATTCTGAGGAACAGGTCCGAAACACAGACCTGGTACCCAGATTCTGCCGACTTATTCCTTTTTCGTTTTCTAACCCCAAATAACCTAAATTTGATTCTTTTTCTCCAATTCTCTTTAGATTCAAAAACCCAACATATGTACACAAGAATCTAATCAAACACAACTCTAAAATCGACCTTAAACTCTCAAGAACTCCTCAATCTCATTCCAAATTCAAGAACGAAAGTAAATTCAAGAACACACATCAAGAACATTCAAACTTGCAACTTTTAGGACGAATTCATGTTGAATTAAACATGTTTGGTGCGTGGGTGAACGAACCCAATGCTGTGTGAACTCACATATCTCGTAGGGATCACCCCTTGACGAAATCCACAAGCGATTCTTGAAGAACTTGATGATTTTTGCTCCTTCTCCTCCTTTCTCTTCTTTTTATCTCTTTTTTAAAACTCTAACTCAATATCGTAAACTGAATCCTATTAGTTTAGACCCCAATAAATTACCAAAAACGAAATTAAGTCATGGGGTATGGAAAAGACCATAATGCCCTTCTAAATTTCGGGTTAGACTTTCCTTATTTGAACAGTCCAACTTCAAATGGGATTATCTCACTCATACGAACTCGGAATCGCGCAAACTCAGCGGCGTTGAAAAGATTATTCCAAGATTTTTCCTTCGATATCTGGAAACACACCTAACTCATTCTGAGCTAGGATTTATGGTCGATTGAAGTTGACTAAAAACCCAACTTAACATACTTAAACAAATTTTCCAGATTTTTATATTCTTTCCAAAAATGACTATTTCCAATTTTTAACTTCTTTCTAGTTTTTTCTAGTTACTGGGTGTTACACAAACGCATTTTATACATTTGCGTTTGTATAAAAGCGAGAGAGGCGAGGGAGAGACTGCTGAGAGTGGCGAGCGAGATTCACCAGGGAGAGATGCGAAATAGCAGCAGTTTGCTATGGGGTACGATTAAATCAAACTGTGGTTTTGACATTTAATTTGAATTATTAGTTTGCTATTATATACAATTTTTCCTTATTAAAATAGCTATCAATTTAAAAGAAAAAAAATCAAGAGAGGATTAATTGATGCTTTTTTTAATCCAATTTACTCTTACAAATAATTCTTTTAAAAAAGTTTTAAACAAGTTTGTAAAGTTTTAGAAAAGTTTCTTAAACGGTAAATTAGTAAGTAACTATCCATCCTTATTTATGATTTCTTATGGGGAGTATAAAAGAAAAAATAAATACTGTAACTAATATGTGATGGAAGAAGTAATGTTTTGATCTTTAAAAATAGATCCAAAATCATTAGTATTTCACAAAATTAGAAAAGAATTTGATTGTTGTTCCAAATTTACTGTCAGCGTATTCTTAATCAATGTACAAATTTAATGATAGTTATGTTAAATCTAAAAAGAAAATAAAATCATAAATAGAATTATTTTAGTCAAAACTCTACTTATTTTTTAAAAGTAAGTAAATTTCTTAATTCATATGTTCAAACCTAAACCGTTAATTATTTTGGATTGGAGCTGGTAGCTTCGACTATGACATAATTTAATTATATTAATTTGGACTAAATAAGATTCTGAGAATTATGGCACATTCATTTACACTAAAAATGTTCAAACATATAGTATGTTGGACAGATTCAATCGAACTAAAATTTTCATATGATTTTATTCATTATCAAATTTTAAATCATAATTTTAAAATTCAACAATAAAATTTAAATATTACTTTTATTAAATTTAAATCCTATATTATTCCTAATAAAATGACTATTTTTTCAAGTAATTCATAGAGTTTTATACTTATTGAGGTCAAAGTCCTTAGAAAACTTATCTTCTTTGCTTTAAGAAAGCAACAAACGAGACAAATAAATAAAGCTTACCTTTATAATACCAAGCACTTTTTTACAACTTTATATCGATAAATAAAGCGATCAAAAATTCGAATTTATTGACCCCTGTCAAATAGGATGCCACATTAGACAAAGTCTTATCCATATTTGTCTTTTACTCGATACTTACTCTCAAACAAATTAAGTAGGCGTTTTATTATAGATTTTAAATATTTTTTATTTATTTTAAGTTAATAAAATTTGTGTTAGAGAGTGATGTTTAGTTATGTTTTTTGTAAAAAAATATTTTAAATAATATTCATGTTTGAAAGTACAAAATTTTAATTAAAAAAAAAGAAGAGTAATGGATCATTGGCGTATAAGTTAGTAAACCGTTGAATTAAAATGTATAACACTATAGTTCGAATTGTTACATCTTCTCCGTCAACTTGACACATGGTTTGTCTAGTCCTTTTTAATTATTATGCTGAGAATATTTTACTTTTTTCCATTTTAAGTTGAGCTGATTTAACAAAAAACCTTACTATTAGGGGTTCATAATTACCTCAATCATTTAGAATGTCTAGGTCATTCTTAATGCATTTCTCTCCGTTCCATGAAATTGCATGTTTAAAAGGTGTAAGTGGAGAAAATGAGAATGTTGAGATTGATGTGTAGGTATATTAGGAGAAATAGGACTAGAAACAAAGATGTATGAGACAAGATGAGAGTGGCTCCAGTAGTGGACAAGATGAAGGAAGTGAGACTGAAATAGTTCAAATATGTGAAGTCGCAAGAATGATCCTCATCGGGAAAAGGCCGAAACTCGTGGGCCGAAGATAAGAATACCTTAACCACAAATATTAGTTGGCATCGCTAATGGCAATTCCACGTGAACAACTCATTGGTGATAGTACTTTAGGACTCGAGTGAAGTTAAAAGAGGAGCATTCTTAGTGGACCGTTCCTAAGTAGAAGATATCTAAGAGTGCAAATCACTTGGGTTAGGCCCATAGGGGGTCAATTGAAACACTTGTGAAACCCCTATAGAATAATAGTAGTGTTAGTAGATTGGTTTCAAACAATTCAATAGAAATAGCAAATCTAAAAACACTAGTACTACAATTTTCCTGTATGCAGACCTTACCTCTATCTTGTGACGGTAGAGAGGTTGTTTCCAATACACCCTCGAACTCAAGTATACTATTTTCCTTACCAATTTCAAGATAAGAAAACTTACTATGTCCTCTGTTGCCCATGGTAAGGCAAGAAAGAGTTTCTTCAGAAAATTGTAAATAAAGCAAAAGCTATTATGTTACCCAACACTGCTAGTTAGTACTTAGCATGGACAAAAGCTAAAAATCCAGATTGTTATTTACATCATAAACATTTCTGTTTCCTTCCAAAAGATTCAAGTAATTGCGACCTACTTATTACTATTAGCTAAAGTGACCCTAAAGGAAGTTTCATCAATCGTCACTTCCTTATGGAGCTTCAAACGTAAGATCATTTTTTACGGCAATAATGAGAAGCAGTCCATTTTGCACCACAACTGTAGCAGAACTCATGTTCACACCGGCAAGTCATGTGAATGCATCCCTCTGTCCTCTCAACAAATACTTTACAATTAGGACATTTCTGCCAGTTTTTCTTCTTGGCAAGTATCTTCACCATTTCTTCCCCTTTGCCCCTCTTTTTGGCATTCAGTTTCTGGAATTCTTTGCATGTAAATTCTGAATGCCATGGAACTCGACATACTACACAGAATGATCTCTTGCACAAAGGGCATTTATTCCTTTCTATACTTTCCCCAGAATCATTAACCAACAGGGCTGAGCAATCACGGAAAGGGCAGTACAGTTTTTGAGAGTCGAGAATCATTGACTGACATACCGATTCATCCCACTGGATCCGTGCCTCTTCGGGAATCAAGAACCTACAAGCATTAACATCAAAAGCAACACCACAACTTACTCCAGGGCAACCAATTACATTTGCTTTCTCTGATATCCTTGCCATAATATGCTTGCCAGTGCACTCATAACAGAAGGAATGAGAACAACTGTCATTTTTAAACATCTCCCATCCTTCTTTGTCATCCAAGCAAATCTCACAGAAGTTGTTAAGTTGATCTTCACCTTCTTTTTCAAGATTCAACATCTCTGTTTCAGACAAAAGTCCTTCTGCAGATACAGATGCATGATTACTGCTTTGACCAGTGTAAAGTGAGGCTACTAAAACTTCATGAAGTTGTAACTCTTCTGCATATTCAGCATCAAAATAGACATCTATCTCACTTATACGTCCTCCAACATATTCTGCAACATGATTATAAGCACGTGGATTACAGAAGAAATACTTGGTATGTGAACAAAACTAAGTTTCATTTCAAAATGCCAATAGGTTAAGGACGTCGAGGATATAATAAATATATTTGAGCATTACTTACTGAAGTAAAATTTCAAGAATGACCTGGAGAGGAACTATAATGAATTTTATCGAGCCTTGGGTGACATGAGTCTAAAGAAGACTTCATATCCAGACTGTAATTTTGTACATCTGATAATCTAACTTCAACTTCTTTAAATGGTCTGTTGCTTTGCTTTTAAGCAATAACAATGTACCCCATCATTTTCTTGATTTCCCCTCTTCCAAATCATTGTTTTAATCGCACCGCATGAGATTAACTCAAAGCAGAAAACAATGAATACAAAATGATCATCTTGGCAACTTAACATCACTGTAGAATGATCACCTACCTATGTAGAAGATCAAGACCTATAATCAACATAACCAATCACCTAATGAGAAAAAAATTAGTTCAAGCTCATAAAAAAGGGTACAGAAGTTCTAAGGGTGACTTATAACAGATTCAGTTGGAAACTTGAACAGGTTTCTCTAAGTCAATCTGCAATTCGTAGTAAATAACCTTACATCAACAAGAAGAGACAACACATCACCCTCCTCCTCATAATTATAACACAAAACAGTTGAGATGTGAAATTCACTCGGATAGAATGCAATGAAAGTCCCACAGAATTCGGTCATATCCCAAGAACCACTATCCTTACTCCTTGAGATAGCTCATTTTCACTGTGTGAGAAGTAGGATCTCCTACTAAGCTAACGTCTGACCACAGATTTTGGATCAAAAAAATATTCAAGTTCCAGTTTTGGGGTTTTTGGGAATCCCACTCACAAAACTTCAAAAAAAAATTCCAATAACAACATCAAGTTCAAAAAATCGCAACTAACTCAAGTTTTCAAGTTTCAACTTCGAAATCTATGACCAAACAAGAGCTAAGTATTTCGAGGCAAAAGTGCAGAACTTCAACTAATAGTTTCAATACATAGATACAACTACTAAAAAACTGAAGTTAACATTTAAACAAACCGGTAAAACAGGAAAACTATTCAACTTCAACACGAACAAATTTGTGGAAAAGAAAACACAAACTAATTTTTCTTATAACATCAAACAATAGGATCAATAAACAATGTGAAAATGTGATCCTTTTTCTTTAGGATCGGTAAAATAACAATGTCAAATTCCACATCCTGAACCCTGTGTGAAAGCACATGTTGATCATAAGAGAAACACAACTTTTGGGCAAACCCAGAACATCACAACCAAAATTAAAGAAATTTATTTCGATTAAAGCATATATTATTGTACCATTCAGAAGAGGGTCAAACGTCGGAGCGTGCGTCGACTCGCCACGGACATTGTGTCGTTCATCAGGAAGTTTATTTTTGTTATTCTTCAAGTAAAGGAACCCCGGTAGAGCGACGGTCACGATTATAATCGCGGCGGCAGATGCTGCACCGGTGACCGGAGAAAGTCGTCCGATGAAGCCTAAAAGAGGACATGACGAGTTAACAACGGCACTAAAAGTCGCCGGGATTAGGCCGGAGAATCGGTTAGCCGGGAAATCCATGAAAAAAAAAGAGTTATAGTGAAAGTAGAATTTGTTGAGAAAAATGATGAATGCGATTATAGTGGTGGTGATGGTCTGCAATTTTGTTCTCACAGTACCAGAGTCACGGTAGACGGGTAGAGTAGGAAACTGAAAATTTGACTTATTAATTTAATAAAATAGTTTCCATAAATTAAAAAAAAAAGTTTATGAAAAGGACCAATTATGTGCTGTTTAATTGAGTATTAAATTTAATTCTTTTTAAAATGAGTATTTTTAAAGTTAAATATAATGACATCCGATTATAGTACCAACATGAATTGTGGTGCACCGATGGGAGCACTTTACCTTAACCAGATGTATCGGGTTTGAGCCTTGGGTACGGAGAAAGTCTTATTGAGAGCGTCACCCCCGAATGAGCCCTGCAGTACGCAACTCGAATTCAGTCTGAGCTTTAATGTGGGCTCGAGACACCAGGTGGAAAAAAATATCTGGTTATAATAACAGACACTTGGTGGGAAGAAAAAAAACTTATCTATGTATAGTGAAATCTGAAGTTTAGATTTCATCTACTAGTTAGAAATAAATGTACACATAAAATTAGTTTAATGATTTTATGTTACCAAAAGAAACGAGTGTATTTGTTAAGTAATTTAATCCCTCATAGACTAAAAAGAGTGTGAATATAAAAAGACAAACTCTTTTGAAGTTATTATCATAACTTATGTGCATTATTTAAATTTAATTTTTTTATTTTTAAATATTCGTAGTTGAATTTCATTATGTGCATGTCATTATGGACGAAAATATTGTGTAGCTATTTTGGTACTTTATTTAATACAGTTGCTTTCATATTTATAAACAGGAAAAAAAAAATGCAGTTGCTTGCAAATTGAAAGAAAAAAATACACTTGCTTTCATTAATGGGAGAAAAATATACAGTTGCTTTCAAATCCAAAGTCAGACAAGAGATCATATATGAACAGAGATATTTTTTCTACTCGTAATAATAAACCTAGAAAAAATAAATTAAATCAATTTATTTATAAAAAAAATTGGAGAAATAATTTTCTTTGACCAATAAATAAATAAAACATTCTTGATCAGTAATTAGTGTTTGGTCAAGTTTATTAAATATATTTTTCAAAAAACTACTTTAAATTTGGAATTTGTGGGAAAGGAATATTTGTGTGATTGATCAAAATTCAATTTCATAGGTACAACAAAGTGTAACCAATACTCAACAACTTATTAAGATACTATATATATAGTACTATATTTCCCAATATAATATAATGCACTTTTGGGATGATTCATATATGTCATCTGAAAAGATACAAAACTAAATTTAAACCAAGTTGAATTACACTACTAATGGTCCTACAAAAGTTACTCATGGTCTGAATTTAGAGATTATGATTTCAACTTTTAATACATAATTAAGAATTATGATTTCAAATTTTAAATATTTCAAAAAGTAGAATTTGAGATTAAAATATTTTTAAAATATAAAAGTTAAATTTTGTAAAAAATAAATTCATGCTTGCACTACAACATTTTAGGCCTTTTGCCACCTCAGAAAAGTGTGGCCTAAAATAATAAAAAGTGTAGCCTTTTATCTAAGGCCACACTTTTGGACTTTAGGCAACACGGGATGGCCTAAACAAGCTTAACATTTGACCTAAAGTCACGCTTTTCAAGTATCGCCTTCTTAGCCACGCCTAATAAGTGTGGCCTATACTGTACAAAGGTCACGCTTTTAGCACCTTATATGGCAACACTTTTAATGACCTTTAACTACACTTTTAAGTGTGGCCTTTTCTACCTCATAGACCCACTTCCAAAACATATCATTTGTTACATCCTCTAAAGCAACATTTTATAAAGTGTAGCCTAAACTAATATACTTGTCAAAATTTAGGATCAATGATCCACATAATTGATGTCTATATACTCACAAATTACATCTAGATGATCGCAAGAACTACATTACCTAATTAATAACTCAAAAATAATAATTTAAAAATATACATATTTGCATTAAACTTTGAGAAATCAACATCTTACTACACAGTAATAAAACAATATTTCAAGATGTGCACAAGTAATGAATTCCACAAAATCACAAGTAAATTTGAACATAATTGTTCAAAAAGAAACTTCAATCGATTGAATTGACTTGTGGCCACCATTAAAAATTGCATCACCCACATTATCCTACACATTCAAAATGAAATTAAAAATTAGAAAAAAAATCAATATATAGTAGTATGTATTCATACAAATGTACAAGTTATTTCAGTGGCTATAGAATTATTCCAAGTCTTGCATAAGATTTTCTTCCCAGAAGACGACACATAAAAAAAATTATTCTCCAAAAGGCTACCAACAACAAAGCTAAAAGATTTTGATCAGTAAGGTACCAAACAACATAGAAATATTGAAATCAAATGTCAATAAAAGACAGACTATATGCAAGCTTCATATTACCATGGAACACGAAAATCACTTGCATGTTCGATTTTAGTCTTTTTATCCATAGAAATATTGAAATCAAATGTCAATAAAAGACAGACTATATGCAAGCTTCATATTACCATGGAACACGAAAATCACTTGCATGTTCGATTTTAGTCTTTTTATCCATAGAGAATATATATCTAAACAAAAATATAAGGGTAAAACTTCTTATTACCAAACAACAACAAAAATTTACCTACATGATCTCACACAACAACTTTTGTTTTGTATATTCTTTCCTAAACATATACTTGGATTAAAATTTAAGTACACATTCACATGACCTTAAATCAAAGTTGTACAGACTCTTCAGTTTTGATGCCACATCCGTGTCGAATTCTGCAAAAATACACTACTTTGGAGAATTCGACAAGAATCTATTCACATTTTTTAAAAGTCCGAGTATCCAATACAAGAAATCATACTTTTAGTGGCAATAAAAGTCCCCACAAAAACCCATCAAGTCGCCACTAAAGATGTTCATTGGCGATATTTGAGCTGTACCTAGTTGGTTGTATTTTAGTTTTTCAAAATTATTGGTGCCCCAAAAAGAAGATGTTACCATACCTAGGTCCAAATGTTGTCCAAAATAACTAGTCTTTTACCTGGAGAGTGACCAAGCCGACACCTTTGAAATTCGTCTTTCATTTCCTGCACACTTGCTTTTATCCTCCCAAGGCACTCTTCCCTCTGGATCAGGCATCTGAACTCCCAAATAGCCTATCAAATTTGTTTCACTGTGTAGAGAGAAAATTATAGACAATCAATCTTAAGGACAACATTCTTTTTTGAAGGTGAATAACCTGAAGCAACTACTTAATCGAATAATTGTACATGTACTAAATGAATGATAGGCATTTCTCTTCATTTTGATCCTAGTTTCATAAGTCATGATAGAAAACTGATCTTCATGTTGCAGCTCCAAAAATGATAAAGAATAAACATTATATTAGACTGCACAATATTTAGATGTGAAAAGATTATAAATTGGTTAAGCACTCTTTTGTTTGCCTCTCCTCATTAAGTAGGGATTTTAAATACATTCGAATAAAGATAACCTGTCCATTAGAACCATAAGCAGATTACAACAAAGTTCCTTTCTCTATATTATCACCACATTTGCTAATTGCAGAAGCGAAAAAGGTTGACTTGACTGGACTTTGTCTTGTATCAAACCAAAGAAAAATGGGTGATTTTTTTCCAGCAAGGAACATAAATTAACCGAGGGGATTATGATATTTAAGAGAACTCCTAAAGTTATTTGTCTTAGGCTTGTCACATTCTATAGTTTACTTATCAGTGTAGTTTTAGCTTTGAAAACCAAGTTTACCTTTGACAAAATGTGGGCACTAAATGAAGGTAGACCTTAGAAAGAAAATGCTGAAAAAGGGTAAGATAGAAAATAACAGTCAAAGATAGAAAGACTCCAGTAACTGTTAAATTTAAGAGACTGCTTATTGTTGGTTACAATATAAGTAAATTAACCAGACAATCTCTCACAAATTATATTAAGAAAGAACCTGAATTTGTTGGTAAATCTCCTCCAAAGTGTATACATATTAATGTTGCAGCTAGAAAGAAATGAAATGAACGAGAGTTGTTGTAATTAGCATATTGAAATATAAATCGGTCAAAACTTGTTTAGCAGAAGCATGAAGCCTAACACACAAGAAACTTGCATCTAAAACCCTTACAGGCTTACAACAAACTGGATGAGATCTGCATATAAGATTGGTCCACCTTTGGAATTCGAATCAATAACATTATTTGCCTCCTCCAACAAATTCAAAGCGCTAGCAAGCCCCTAATGTGATGTTCTGCTGATCTCTGAGCTTCTAACAGGAAATAAGAGTATAAGAAAGATGAATAATTGGCAAGGTAATATCGTGAATCAACATCAGCAAAAACTGAGATCTCATCCTATAACATGACACTTGATTCAAGGTAATAGCGTGAATAAACTTTTAACAACAAATTAGATCTCATCCTATATCATCTACTTCATTGAAAAACTAGAAATGTAAAAGATAGGAGGAATGACCTTGACTTGAGTTTTGCTACTAGTATACTAATACATATATTGTCCAAGAACATAAGGAGTTTCACCAGCTGTGTTAACATGTCAGTATGTCTATTCTGTTTTACTCTGCAAAATCTTTAGAATTCTATGCAAGTTTTATTTACTCCGAGAGGAAGGTATCAAGCATCCTTCAAAGCTTATATCCGAAGATAGTCCTCAGACATAGTTTAACTAAGGCAAAAGTATTCATTACCCCCCGAACTTGAAGCTTTTTATTCAGTGTACACCTAAATTATATTCCGTTTTAATTACGCCCCCCCCCCCCCCCCCCCGAACTTGTTTATTCCTCCATCACGTACACCTTTTTCGTCCATCTGCTCCTATTGTGACTACACGCGCGCGACAGCTGGCAAAATTGGTGATGTGGATTTCCTCTTGGATAAATAATAACCACCTAGATAAATTAATATTGCAAAAAATAAATTTCTTAAATTTAAAATTCATTGTTTAAAAGTTATTTTTGAATAAGGATTGATTTCGCGGAACTCC